CTCTTTCCTCGACGGAGTCCAGCGAGCGGCAGAACCCAAGTCCGGCGGTGTTCTGCCGATGTGTACTAAACTTCCCACGGTCTGCTGTAAATGCAGCCAGAGCTGTGCACTGATAACGCTTCTCCTACGGGGAAGGGCTGCGAGGAGGCGAAGCTCCTTTGCGAGCCGCCCCCGGGGTCCTCTGGCCACCCGTCGGGCCAGCAGCAGGCTGAAGCGGCCCGGACGCAAGTTCGCAAGGCCGGAGGGCCGCGGCCCTGCCGCGCCGCGGAGACCCCCGGCCCGCAGCCTCGACCCACTCCCGAAGGGCTCCGGGGGAGCGGAGCGGAGCCGGCGCTGCGCTGCGGTCGCCTCCAGTGCTGAGCCGCACGGGTTTAGCGCAGGGCGATGCAACAGGGAGATGCCTGCCAGAGGTGTTGCTAGTAATTAATGTAACTGAGAACAACTTCCCAAGGGCCAAGACGGGGTCTCAGTCAGAGCTACTTCTGCCTAGAGACGAGGGCATTCCCTCGGGAGGGTTTTCAGCCACCCCGCTTTAGCCATCGAGCTGGCCGCTCCCAACGCTCGCCATGTTGCCGTCCTAAAACTTATTCGCAGGCGAACTGCTAAACTGTGAAATTATAACTTCAGAAATAACATGTTGATACAGATAAAAAGTTCGCCTGCTCACCCTCCTGCCCAAAGGGCAACGGGGGAAAAGTGAGAATGGAAAGGAGCCTGAGAGGTCCGAGCTTCTCTGCGCGTTGGGTCCATCCCCAAAATGTTAAACCCTGCACAGAGAAGGAAAGAAAGAGACGTTTTCTACTCCGGTGGTGCTGTTGTTAGGTTGGCTCGGGATCTGCGCTGAATTAAGCATAGGTCTCTTCTTCCAGTTACTGGATGCGAAAAGTTTAAACTGTGTAAGAAAGAGCACAGCCAAGTCCACTCTCTGCACGTGGCTTGTCCCACCGCTGGTCGCTTTGTGATCATCACAAATAAGTTACAACAAGGGTCAGTTTTCACAAACTCTCTCCCAGCCGGTGGGAAATGCTATACCCTACCCTGGAGACAGTTCCGCGCCTCACTTTCAATCGGAAGCATCGGAAGCCGCCAAATATTTTCATCTCTTAATACACACAACGGAGATTCAAGTGTCAGAGGAGCACGAACAACCGAGCGCTCGGGCTGGGGGCTCGGATGCTTTCAAAGGTGCAAATATCGCTCATCCCACACGGCCAAACCTCCGCGCCACTGTGGGAACGGCGCGGAGCCCCCCGGGCGCTCCTGGCGTGGGAGGGGCGGGAAGGGCAGCGGGGGCGGGCAGACCCCGG